ACTTAGTTGTCAGGGGCTATTTGAGATGCATGCTACAGAAGTTCAACCCCACTATCACCCCTGGTTATAGCAACCTTTTGGACATATACAGGGTTTGATCGATAAATGTTGTCCAAATTACGCAAAAATGAAAATAACAATGACATCTCATTTTAACAGATATATTTACCAAAATTACAAAAACATATCTTGAAATACTAAAGATTACATTTATTCAATAAAATTACCATTGGCTTCAGCCACAGCCTCCAGATGACTTTGGGATCTCCTGCAACTCTTGTGGATGGTCTCCTTATTTAAGTTGGTGAATCCTTGTCTTCAGTTTGTCTTTGCTCTTACAAGGAGTTTTGTTGATCTCTCATTCAACTGCACTTCACACATAATAATCAAAGGATTGCAGTCTGGGGAGTTAGGTGGCCAGATGTAAGTGGTGATGTGGTCGCAGAACTGACTCCCACAGAGTTCTCCTGCATGTGTGGCATGGTGCAGAGTTCTGTTGCCAAACATAGAGTCTTCCAACAGCTACCCTCTTGACCCAGAGCAGCACTACATCCTCATGGGGCTCAATGTAGCCCTCCATATTGAGTCTGAGGCCCTCACCAACAAATTTAGGAGTTCTTTTCTTATCAGAAGGATCAGAGCAAGTTTTCAGAGATGTATACCTTTGTAATCAGCATTAAACTCACCCATCTCTTTGCAAAACTTCTGCACTGTCCTTAGATTAACACCCAAACACTCTGAAATGTTTGTATTGAAGCTTCCAGAGCAAATGCCAAACTGTACAGCTATAACTCTTAACACAGTAGTTGATTCTGGGTCACTTTGTTCAGCAGTGACCAGACATTCTAGTCCTTACCACATGCCGCCTATACTAGAAGATGTCTTAGTCCTTGGTTGTAGGATGACAAATTGATTGCAAGGTCAATCTCACGCTGTTTGATACTGTCATGGTTCAACAGTCATTGATTGCTGTCCACTTTGGACATCACCCTGCTCCACCCACACTGTGTTTCTTGATTACAAAACTGGTAGGGATCGATTAATCATCAGTATCATAGCACTAATTCAAACCACGGTGTGCTGTACTATGATGAAAAACAAATTGAAATGTTTTTTTTTGCAGATGTAATAAAAACAAAGTCTTTAGGTTAATTTTTGATTTGGTTTATGTAATTCTTGCTATAACAAAAATTAATCCTTTCCACTAGAATCTCTTTAGTGACACTTTTGCTTATCAGTGCAAATTTCATGGAATAGTACTCAAAATCAGGAATTCTCTCAGCAGTAGGTCATGTGGGTTTCAGCAGCTCCTTTGCTGCTGTCTCATCTCATCTTCTGTCTGCAACTCTAACTCCAACTGCCTGGGTTGCTCAAGCACTTCGCTTATATTGATTTTGATTCAAAATTGGAGTGTAGGCTGACTGTGTTTGGGAATTTGGCATTTTCCCATGTTTCTGTAATGGTTACAACAAAGGTCCTTTGTTGTTTGGTTTGTAATATTATCTCTCCAAATTTGGGAGATCCCTTCTTCCTACAGGTAGTGGTTGTAGGTATTGGCCTACCCATATAACTAATTCCTTATCTATGTTTCACACCATTACTTCCAAATGAGCAGATATAATTTCTCCATCTTTCTTAGTATCTCATCTAAGCCTGTCACCTCAAAGTCAGATTTGTCAAAGAAGACAAATCTGACTTTCAAACTGCATGGACAAAAAGGCAGTTTCAACTTTTTGTTATTAATTGTAATTATCTTTTTAATTAGTCTCTTTATTTTGCCTTTGTCCTCACAATGATCAAATATTATACTTAATTGACACCTTCTTTCTTCCTAGTAATCATGAGACATGGTCTTCTAACTTGCACTTTTAAGCAAACAGACATAAATCTATGTCATCTTGTGCTTTTAACCCTATCTGTCTATTCCAAGTCATATTCTAAATTAACACTTTCTTTTTACCAGTATCACATAGTGTTATACAGCATGCCATTTCTGGTAGAGTGAATTGTGTCATGGTGTTCTTTTTTTCACAGACAGTGCCCAACTGACCCTACTATACTGTGCCATTGAAAAAGTCAAACCAAACACCATATGAAATTGAAAATATAAAATGGTGACAATTTATACATCGCAGTCTATATAGCGTATGCATCTAAACATTATGCATATACTATATAGAATATATATAGAAACATTCATATTATCCTCAATAGGATGATGTTCAAACAAAAAAGAGCATCAATGGTGGAGTGGTGAGAATTGATTGAGTAGTTGATTTGTTTTTTTATGGTTTGTCAAATCTTTGTGGATTATTTAAAGCTGGAATATATTTTAGATTGCAAGAATAATTCTTTTTTGTGAGTGAATATTACGTTAACAATTATTTTGATAATAAAACAATCAAAATCAAAATATATCATAAAAACATATAACACCACTGCCTGGAGAAGTATTGCTGGTCAAGGTACCACTTGGTATAGTATTGTGGTCATGGCAACCAACTTATAATAGCCCTTCTTCTCTGCAACCCATGGTCACTAGGATCTTATCACTTCTGGCCATTGTTTATTCTTCGTTATAGCTGATAGTCAAACTGACTATTTTCTATCAGTTTTTCTCAGATCCTGGAACAGATCTATCCAACAATCTGCCAGACATCTAGAACAGAACAAAATTGACCATATTAGTCAGATAATGACAGCATTATGGATAATGTCTGCCAGTTAATGGTATTTCTTATAAACAATAACAAGTTGTTTTAATTTGACGTCAGCAATATTCATCAATCTTAGTGCTGTGAGGTTAAATATTAAGTACAACAATAATGGAATTACTGATTCAGTTAAGTTCTCTCTACATCTGTCTGACAAAGTAATTATTGTTGGAGACTGTTTCAATTCTTGGTGACTTTTACTGGCAATTCTTTCAATGACTTTTGATGACCCTCTTCTAAGTGACTGACCCTGACTCATTTCAGCCACCTGATGGCTTCACACACCTAAATAATAAGAAATAGGGTTTCTGCCAAATTTCTCCTTCCAGCCATAATTCAGCCTGACTAGTTAATTCTGATCACATGATCCCCCTGAGACAGTCTTACTTTACACCTAGGACCTTCCAATTTTGAGATACACGCAGTTTGAGGATTCCCTAATTGTCTGCATGCACGCATTTACTGTGTCCTGTGATTGTGATGCCAGTAACATTATAACCTTGATGATTCTTAACCTTTTCACTCTTTCCACTGCTTAATTAAAATACATTCTTTCAAATCTTGGCCATAGTTTCTTTTTTTCTCCTGGCCTCACAACTATGAGTGAATACGCTTTTCTAGATGTGGGAATTGATATTTTCCTTTTATCTCTTTCAAAGAATCAGCCTACTTTTATAGTCTTCTCAAACCTGCAATATTCTCAGATGCCATATTGTTACAGTTGTAAGAGGTGCAGAGGTTAATAGCAGAAGAAGAAGCATGCAATTGACAGTGCAAATATACCATCACAGGTATGGAATTCAGAATGCAAAGCAACATTGAAAAAGGTAAAATTAAGTAGAAAATAGCCCAGAAACATATTTTATGTAAATCTAATATTTACGAAATATATGAAACTGAAGCATGTTTTCATATTTCTTTGGGACAATAATGGCATGCCTATTGAGTGTTAAAAAAAGGGAGAGAATGTGTAACACCAGTTTCAGTTGTTTGAATTTTATTAAAATAGTTTTTTAAAAGAATAAAAGTTGTCAAGGGCATACATAGTAAGAGTGGTGTCAAGAGAAAAGCCATCCTTTTGAAACCATTTTTTTTTTTTGAGATATGTATGTTAAACTTTGCCAGTTTTTCAAATACATACGCTTTTTCTCTTTACTATTTTTTTTAAACAATATTAAAATTTTTCACTTATGTTAAATTCCTTTTGATATACTTTTTTTTAATGAGAATTCCTCTGCTTAGTATGTATCTAGATAGTCACAAATTTAACAAATGAAATTAACTCAATAATTTTTTTTTTTTCACCTGGAACATAAAATCTTCAATGGATAGTCAGATACTGAATAAATTATGAAGAAATTACTGAAAACTTTAAATCCCACAATTTTTGTCTTCTCATTTTTGTTAGGTTTTTCAGTCTTGTTTGCTTTCTTTAAAGCAGTATGAAAATTCTTCATTTGCATTGAACTTGTTTTTTTGTTAAGTTTTCACTTAAGCATTCTTTCTTCATGAAATAGGTTGTATGTTTGTAAATGAATTTAAGTATTAATTGAAAAATGACATTGATTTGATTAAATAGTCAAAGAAATATGACAGAACAAATAAAAAAAAACTATGAGGTAAGTAAAGCTTTATTTCTTACTTTAAACAAGCAGAGTGAAATTTATTTTTCATTTTTGTGAAGATTTTGTAACAACTTTTCCTAACTCATAAAATCAGATGAAAATTTTCCTTCATATCAGACTTATTTGTCCTGTTTCTATTTTTATCAAGTCTCCCTGTGAACTTTCTTCTATGCTGCCTAGACTTTATGAATTTAAGCCTAGTACTAGATTGGCGGCAAAGTCTCCTCATCTTACAGATGAAATGGCTAGATGTAATCATAAGTTTTATGCTAATAATTTCTTCTATCTCACGTCTTGCATGTAGATCTCTCTTCCAACATCTTGCTTTCCACTCAACTTTGATATTCAAAAATTTAAATGCAGTGTCAATCATTATCTTCTGTTTTCTTAATTTTTGTGCTTTTATTCTCTCTCCTTACATAACACCTTGCATCTTGGTGGCTTTATTGCCTTGCTTGGGGTGAAATGATTTAAAAAAAAAAAGTATTCTACATGCACCTAGTTACATGTTAATGTAATTGAGTGAATATAAGTGAAATTTTAACTATTTTACAAGGGAATTATTTTTTTCAACATTATCAAGGACAAACACGCCCATCTCTCACAAAGAGATTACATAATACACCCAAATTGTTACTTTTATAGCACAATGTAAAAGGGCTTGCAGCCATATGTCATTGAAACACAGGTTCTCATATGATCACTGATGTTAAGCAATGCTGAGCCTGGTCAGTATTTAAATGAGTGACTTCTTGGGAATACTAGACGCTTTAAGCATGGATATTTGAGTGGTATAATGGATAATGGTTGGGAATTGGAAAACCAAGTTCCAATTCCAGTTAGGTTTGTTATCTTCACTTACATGCAACCATCTTTGAGAGAGGTATGAGTCAAACTCTTCTCCTCCTCATCTCCGAGTTAATCAGTAGGACTTGTAGCAGTATATCATTATTATCTTTAACAGATTCTTACATTCTAAAAATATTTTCTAGCTTTAAATAACCTGCAAAAAGTTAATAAGCCATAAAACAACAATGTAAAGCTTAGGGGGAAAATGTTCAGTCATAAAATAGTAAATTTCTTTTCATCATTATAGAATAGGATAGCAGTTGAAATCTATTTAAAGAGACCATAAACTTTGTGGAAAAAAATAATATAATCAAATGGTAATAAAGCAAACATGAATCATATGAAACATTAACTGTAAAATATTTGACTATTTTATTTAAAAAGATTATTTTGGACTTATAGTTTTTACCTTTATTTTCAACCTTGAACAACACATGGCTTTCAATAAAATCAAATACAATTTCTTAGTTTATCACATGAGAGTTAGGAAGAAAAATTTAACTAAATCAGAGACTTTCAGTTATTTATTACAGATGTATAAAACATGTTAGAAAAACAAACAAGCAAGACCACATCATTTTAATAATGAAGCAAATAATCATATTTGACGTAGAAAAAAGTTCTTAAACTTTTCAGTATGTTTTGCTATTTCAATTTTTACAGGGTTCAGTGAAGGATTAAGAAAATTGTTTAACATTTCATGTTACAAACTGTAAATCTACCCCCACCCGACCAGAGATTTAAATTTTCATATAACATAAGCATATTATTAAAATCAGTGCAAATTTAGTGTCAGAAAAGGAGAGAAAAAAGGAAAAAAAAAAAAAGTATCAAAAAAAGCATGAATTTTATAATATGAATCAAATAACATATTATTAGGGTATATCAAATATATTTTTTGTTTTATTCAGACCTTTGCTCTAAGGCTTATTTCATGTACATATTTGATGCCACTATAGTGTTAAAATTATGTGTGTAATTTTTAAAGAATTAATAAATTTTTATCTCTAATCTGAATCTGCCATAAAAGTCTTCATGGCAAAGCAAACCTTAGGAAGGAAAGCACATCTGTTATTAAGATCTATCAAAGTTCATGTCTTCTAACTTTTATTTTTGTACCTAAAGCATAAAGTAATTTTTAAGGAATTAGTAGGTTTTCATTTATAATCTGATAGTATTTCTTATTACTATATACATTATATTTAGTAGATACACATGTTTGAGTATGGCTAGTTGATTTTAGAATTGTGGTATTACACTCAATTTGAAAGTTGGGATTTGACATGATAAATAATAACAGAAGATATTTTTTCCAAATCATTACTATTTTTTGAGGAAACGAGTTTAAAGATTAAGTTTAGGTTCAAAACTGTAGCATTGGAATTTCATTCAAGTGATAAATGAAAGCCTTATAAAACTTACTGAATCTTTACAAATTGTATATAGGCAAGATGCAAGGCACAAGGACATTATTACTAAGTCATTGTGCCATCAAATAAGACCTTCATTTATTGCAAAGGGAAATTATACTGAAAAATTTACTTATATTGTGATGTAATATGTTATACAGCACAGTAATTTTAGTGTGATTTTCAATAAACAATGCAAATTTAAAACATTTTGTCTTATAATTTGTGCCCAGCAGTATTATGGTGTTATAGACACTTTTTATCCATTTTTGTTTTTATTAATTATGATCTGACAAATCTTATTCATTGAGTAGTCTTTTTGTAATCTTTTACAATTTTTTTTTTTTTTACAGTTTTTATTTATTGAATACAGTAAAAAAAAATTGCATATTTTGCTTGTGGTGATTCATAATTAAATTTGTGGTTTTAATATATTTTCCATTCAATATATCTAATACAAAAAATATCAACTTTCTTTGGATTTATTCTTGAAATAGTAAAATTTTGAAGTCAGTTTGTAGGCAAAATCTTGCGGATATTAGATAATTTCTGTACATTTTTTCAGATGATCTTTAGAACCAAATGCTCAAAAATTGCTAAAAGCTATGAATCTAATTTTTGGTGTCAGTACTTATCACATCAAACCGAGTGCAATGTTGATTTTTTTAAAAAAAAAGTAAAAAAATCAACCTGCTCTAATATTTGAGTGGACATCACTGTTGTTTAAGCAGGAAAGTATACTGTTTACCACTCTGGCTTTCATTATTAAAGAATCATGAAAAACTTTGGCTTGGAGATGAAAATATATTGTTTAAAAGCAGATGTGTCTCAGATGTGTATCCACTAAATGTAATATAGGAATTTTCTAAGCATAAGGCCAAAGGTGTGGAGTACCCAGTGAGGATCTCACTAGATCAATTATGAATGAGTAGTCTCATTCATAATTGATCTAGTGGGACAAGCTTGTTAACCATTACACCACATTGAAGTGTCCATATAATGGTGGTTTTTAAGTATAGCTTAGATGTGTCAAGAGGCTGAAAGTATGGTACATCCAGTGAGGATCGAACTATTTAGTTGTAATTGATCTAGCAAGACAAGCTTGCTAACCATTATATCACATCTAGGTGCCCCCCACTAAATATAATGCGTACAATAATAAGAAATATAACATCAACAGTATTCAGCTGTACTTTTAGTTTCAAATGTTCTAATGCTTAACAATAGCTTTTAAATATAACCAAATATTGAGATTCTGACAGATTATTATTAGAGATTAATTTCAACTGGGCATGAAAGCCATTAAAAGCTTCTTGGAAAAATTAGGAAGTCAAAGAAATTAAATAATGTAATACTACACAAAACTTATTTAGGTATTTTAAAAATGGTAGCATGACACATGAAATAAAGTCCAAAAGTGGATGAACATCTATTGTCAATTATGATAATTTAAAACACAAGATAGAGAGCCCAACCACTAACACAGTTATAACTTTCAGACGAGTCATAATCATTAAATATAGTAAAGCATTACATAAGTATTAAAAATCATACAGGAGCTTTTGAGAGGTTAAAAAATAATTTAAAAAAAAAAAACTTTTTATACTTCACAATAACATAAATTTAATATTTAAGACCCTATGATTTTCACACATTTTCTATGTGAAATAGTACAGTTAAAAAAACATGTTCCCTCATGTCCCTCCCAATGTTTGTATACAGAATAGGGGATTCTGGTTGAATAGTTACTCATCACAAAAATATTTTTCACATTTTCTGTAGATATATTCAGGCATTAACAAAGTATATTTTTTATGAGGTTTCATCAAATGTTTTTCTAATTTTCACAAGAAAATGCTTTCCACTGTGTGTTTTCATATGTTGCTTCAAATGTGACTTTCTTACAAAGGAAGATCCACAAGCTTCACAAGCAAATGGTTTCTCTCCAGAGTGTATTCGTTTATGTTGAACCAAAACAGATTTCTTTAAAAAGGAAGATCCACATTCCTCACAGGAAAATGGTTTCTCTCCAGTGTGAATCAGCATGTGACTCTTTAAAGTTGAATTGAGTGCAAATGCACGCTTACATATTTCACAAGAATATGGTTTTTCTCCAGTGTGTGTTCTCGTATGTCGCACTAAATCAGTCTTGCTTGAGAAAGAGGATTTACACACTTCACAAGGAAATGGTTTTTCTCCTGTGTGTTTTCGCATATGCCGTACCAAAACTGACTTTTGTGAAAATGAAACTGCACACACTTCGCATGAAAATGGTTTCTCTCCTGTGTGTGTTCGCATGTGTCTTACCAAGCCAAACTTCCTTGAAAAGGAAGAGCCACACCATTCACAAGAAAATGTTGCCTCCGTGTGTGTTTGAACATGTTGTACCAAATGTGACTTTCTTGAAAAAGAAGCATCACACACTTGACAAGAAAATGCTTTCTCTCCAGCTTTTGTTTTCATGTTTTTTACCTAAAAAGACTTCTTTGAAAAGGAAAAATTATAAACGGCAGAGCTACTTTATTTTTTGTATGTCTGAGAGCGTGTGTAAATTTTGACTTTATGAAAATTTACATCCACAAACTTAACAATAGCTTTAAATATAGCCAAATTTGCCAGGAAACCTGAACTTTAGGAATTACTTCCATTCAATGAAGAATGAAAATGACTGTCACAAAAATATTAAATATTGTCTCTGATGCTGGAAAATCTGTAAAGAAAACAAAAATGAGAAATGGTTAAGATTTTATAATTTAGCAATTCAAAACATTTATATTAAATCAGTTTACAGTAGCTTCATGCATATCTGATTTATTTCTAACAATGACCCGTAAGTAATAATATACAATGTATGCCTGGAAAATATTTAATGTTAATGTAAAAAGTAATCTATCTAAAGTATTGGCACCTTATATCTCATCAAAGTACCTCTGTTGAAATTGTGCACACTTATCCTGATGTTCATTCTACTTTTGAAATAGTATGAAAAATGACTTTTTGGAATTGCTATCAACTGCCTAGTCAAATTCTCCCTGATCTCATCCCCAGAATAAAATCTTAAGATTTGGAAAAAGCCAAAAGTCACATGAAGCATTATTTGGACTGAAGGGTGATGTGATGCTTTGTCAAAAATGCCTGTATGAAATTTTACTGATCTACTTTTCATTTTTAAAATCAGTTCACCCCAAGTAAGATGATAATGCAACAAACTCATGGGGCTACTGGGAGTAAAAGAGAATGAGAAGAGTTTAGAAGGAACCAGAAATCCAATCCTAAACAGTTCGGTTGTGGAGATGGTGTAAGGATAGCTTGGAATGAGAAAACAGAGTGCTGAGTTCAAATTCTATTTGAGTTCACTACTTATGTGCAAATATCCTTGGTAAAGATATGAATTCATCTCTTCTACCCCCCAAATATGGGTTAAATAGTAGGAATTGTATCTGGAAAAGTCATTATCTAAAAAAAAAAATAAATAAATAAATAAAATTCTCAAGGCAATATCAAAGAATTA